AGCTACCTCATGAAAACCGGTGAGACTAATCAGGACAGTCTATCAAAAACACATACCCTCGGCTCATGTCCATGCAGCTTGCACTCACAGATCCCTGTGTAAGCAACCTCATGAAAACCGGTAGGGCTAATTAGGACAGTCTATCAAAAACTCATACCCTCGGCTCATGTCCATGCAGCTTGCACACGCAGATCCCTGTGTCAGCTACCTCATGAAAACCGGTGAAACTAATTAGGACAGTCTGTCAAAATCTCATACCCTCGGCTCATGTCCATGCAGCTTGCACTCACAGCTCCCTGTGTAAGCTACCTCACGAAAACCGGTGAGACTAAACAGGACAGTCTGTCAAAAACTCATACCCTCGGCTGATGTCCCTGCAGCTTGCACTCACAGATCCCTGGGGAAGCTACCTGATGAAACCGGTGAGACTAATTAGGACAGTCTGTCAAAAGCTCATACCCTCGGCTCATGTCCATGCAGCTTGCACTCACAGTTCCCTGTGTAAGCTACCTCATGAAAACCGGTGAGACTAATTAGGACAGTCTGTCAAAAGTTCATACCCTCGGCTCATGTCCATGCAGCTTGTACTCACAGTTCCCTGTGTAAGCTACCTCATGACAACCGGCGAGACTAATTAGGACAGTCTGTCAAAAACTCATACCCTCGGCTCATGTCCATGCAGCTTGCACTCACAGCTCCCTGTGTAAGCTACCTCATGAAAACCGGTGAGACTAAACAGGACCGTCTGTCAAAAACTCATACTCTCGGCTTATGTCCATGCAGCTTGCACTCACCGATCCCTGGGTAAGCTACCTCATGAAAACCGGTGAGACAATTGGGACAGTCTGTCAAAAACTCATACCCTCGGCTTATGTCTATGCAGCTTGCACTCACAGATCCCTGTGTAAGCAACCTCATGAAAACTGGTGGAGCTAATTAGGGCAGTGTGTCAAAAGAACTCATACCCTCGGCGCATGTCCATGCAGCTTGCACTCACAGATCCCTGTGTAAGCTACCTAATGAAAACTGGTGAGACTAATTAGGACAGTCTGTCAAAAACTCATACCCTCGAATTGCACGCTCGGCAGATTGCTTATGCGAGCAAAGGGGTCTGGCCATTGTTGAGCTCCAAGTGGACCTTCGACCTTGATGAACTTCTTGTCATGGCATTCACATGCTGGATGACCGCCACCACAAACACGTCCAGCCTTGTGCATCACTGCAAAGGCATGCCTGCCAGGGCATGACTCCTTCTCCAATGGCAATGGGCAGGTCTTCGTCTGGAAGGCTTCGCAGATGGGTGCCCCATTCTGCATGGAAGCGCTCAGCACCTTCCCATTCAGAGATGCCGGCATTTCAGCCAGGCTACCCTTAGCCTGGGCCTCCTCCCTCTTTGCAGCTGCCGTGAGCTTGAAGGCCTCTGACAATTGAAAGCGGGCCTACAACTCGGCCAAGGTGTCCAAGGCATCTTGCCACTGTGAGTACCGCTCAGGGGTCAACTCCCCTTGAGAGCGCATCACTTTGGCCTGGGAGAAAGCCTTCCGCAAGGCTTCAGCTCTCAGCAGCACTTGTTCAGGCTGATCTGGACCAGGGCGGATGCGAAGGGCTTGAACCATCTTGCTCTTCTTCAGCATCGATGCCTTAGGCGCAGGCCAGCTAGCCGGCCTATCCTTCGATCCAGAGCTCTCTGCGGCTGCTGCCACCTGCGGAATAAGGTCCTCGTCCATGCTGCTGGAACGTGCTTGAAGCCACGCATCAGCCACATGGTGTCCTCCAGGTGCCTCAGCGCTATCATAGGATGCAAAGGCATACGCAAAGTCCGTATTGTCTTGCAACCCCCATTGGGGGGGAAACCTCCCAAATACTCAGTGCATCTCCTGGGAAACAAGGCCCCGCTGCAGCAGGCCCTCCCCATGCGTCTTGAACTCGTAGTAGGTTGGCATCGGAAGGGTATCCCCCACCTTCGTAACCTCTATACCCTAGGGTAACGCCCTAGTACCTGCACATGCCAACTTGGGGTTGGGACGTATTTTTTACACCCAAGCCCTTGAATAAAAATCCATGGGCGTTTCATTCAAGGAAACAAAATCCCGGGCGTATTTAAAACACCCAGAGGCCAGGTTGGCATGTGCAGGTAGAGGAACGAAAAACCACCGACCCTAGGGTCACTCCCTAGAAGTGGCGTGGGTACCCCGAACAAAAGAAAGAACGATGAAGCCAGTTTGGCTCAGACTTGATCCAAAATGGATTCATCAGCTTACATACTCACCCTAATGATCATGCACACCCAGTGCCTGCCAAACACGATGCATACATATCTATCTATCTATCTATCTATCTACCTATCTATCTATCTATCTATCTACCTATCTATCTATCTATCCATCTATCTATCTATCTATATATCTATCTATCTGTCTATCTATCTATCTATCTATCTATCCATCTATCTATCTATCTATCTATCTCTCCCTCTATCTATCTCTCTCTCTATCTATCTATCTATCTATCTCTCTCTCTATCTATCTATCTATCTATCTATCTATCTATCTTATCTATCTTATCTATCTTATCTATCTTATCTATCTTATCTATCTTATCTATCTTATCTATCTATCTCTCCCTCTATCTATCTCTCTCTCTATCTATCTATCTATCTATCTATCTCTCTCTCTATCTATCTATCTATCTATCTATCTATCTATCTATCTATCTTATCTATCTTATCTATCTAATCTATCTAATCTATCTAATCTATCTATCTATCTATCGTCCATCTCTCCATCTATCCATGCTTCCTCTGATCCTCTCAATCTAATCATCTCTCCCTCTATCCTCTATCCCCTATCTACCTATCCACCTATTCTATCTTCTATCTATCTAGCTACTATCGATTCTATCTAATCTATCTATCTATCTATCTATATCTATCTAATCTATCTAATCTACTAATCTATCTAATCTTTCTAATCATCCATCTATCTATCTATCTATCTATCTTATCTTATCTTATCTTACCTTACCTTACTTACCTTACCTATCTATCTACTATCTATCTATCTATCTATCTTATCTATCTAATTCGGTCTATCTACCTACCTAATTATCTATCTATCCTATTCTATCGAATCTATCTATCTATCTAACCTATCGATCTAATGGTCTATGATCTATCGAACCTATCGATCTATCCCTCTATCCACCACCCTATCTATCTATCTCTCTCTCTATCTATCTATCTATCTATCTATCTATCTATCTTATCTATCTTATCTATCTATCTATCTATCTATCTTATCTATCTTATCTATCTTATCTATCTATCTCTCCCTCTATCTATCTCTCTCTCTATCTATCTATCTATCTATCTATCTCTCTCTCTATCTATCTATCTATCTATCTATCTATCTATCTATCTATCTTATCTATCTTATCTATCTAATCTATCTAATCTATCTAATCTATCTATCTATCTATCTATCTATCTATCTGTCTATCTATCTATCTATCTACCTATCTATCTATCTATCTATCTATCCATCTATCTATCTATCTATCTATCTATCTATCCATCTATCTATCTATCTATCTCTCCCTCTATCTATCTCTCTCTCTCTATCTATCTATCTATCCATCTATCCATCTATCCATCTATCCATCTATCCATCTATCCATCTATCCATCTATCTATCTCTCTCTCTATCTATCTATCTATCTACCTATCTATCTATCTATCTATCTATCTATCTATCTAATCTATCGAATCTATCTAATCTTTTCTATCTTATCTATCTTATCTATCTTATCTATCTTATCTATCTTATCTATCTTATCTATCTTATTATCTATCTAATCTATCTAATCTATCTAATCTATCTAATCTATCTATCTATCTATCTGTCTATCTATCTATCTATCTACCTATCTATCTATCTATCTATCCATCTATCTATCTATCTATCGATCTATCGATCTATCGACCTATCGATCTATCAATCTATCCACCTACCTACCTACCTACCTACCTACCTATCTACCTATTTATCTATCTATCTATCTATCTATCTATTTATCTATCTATCTATCTATGTATCTATCTATCTATCTATCTATCTACCTATCTATCTACATTATCTACCTATCAACTATCTATCTACCTATATCTGTCTATCGATCGATCTCTCTCTCTCTCTCTGTCTTTCTGTCGGGCTATCTGTCTACCTATCTGTCTGTTTGCCTTACCTCCCAACATGTCTGATGAAGATCCGTCTTGCACTGTGCCTGCCACGCGACATGCATCTTCCCAAATCCTCTTCAAACATCCCCACGCTTGCCCTCGTTTTTGACAATGCTGCAAAACCCAAACGTTTGGCTCACCTTTGGCAAGGTGCAGAATCCATTGCGCCTAAAATGACGAGTCGACGACCCAAAGCCGAACGTGGTGTGTGGTTTAACATGTTGCCTTCAAAATTCACTTTTTCGACATCTCAACTTCCAAAAGTGGTCCGAACATGTTTTTGAACAGCTCCATTTCCAAAAGCGCTCCAAGAAACGTGTTTTACCATTTTGACTTCGAAATGTGCTTCGCACCACAACGGCGTGCACTTTTTCGACATACTTCCAAAAGTGCTCCGAATGTGGTGCTTTGCGCATTTTGAGTTGGAAACATGCTTCGCACCACAAAGGCGTGCAATTTTTCATCTGTCATCTCACCAGATGGCTCGTTTCCCGAGTTTTCTACCTTTTCGCGCACCGTGATCTTCTTCTTTTCTGCTCTTCTCTTCTCTGACGTTCTTTCTTCTTCCTTTCTCTTCTCTGACTCTTCCCACCTCTGTTGCTCCGTCTGTCCATATGTCGGAAGTTTGACTTCTAAACTTCCTTCGATAAATACAAATTACAGATATGTATATAGATATGGAATGATATGGATATACATCTACTATGTACATCTATGTACACTATGCTCTCCCCAACCTCCCTAGGTATCGAAGCCAAGGTGCCAGGAAGTCCGCCCAGTCAGGCAGCTTGGGCAGCACCTCAGGTCATTGCGGTTTCCAAGAGGTGGGTCAATAGCAACCCCCGCCACAAAAGAATGGCAAAATGTTAGATACTTTAGTAAGACGTTAGTTTGCCATAGTGTTCTATCCCTTTTTTAGTTGTTCCAAGGAAAACTTATCCAAGAAAATACGCTTTTTACCAACCGATTATGGCTTTTCCCAGAAACCAATGCTAAGGCTGCTGGGAGCCATCGGCCAAAAAATGGGAAGGCATGGAAATTGAGGTAGCAATGGCCAAAACTGGTGTGTTGGATGATGACTCAATGGCAAACCATAGCTTGGCCCCTTACGAAAGTTTACCATTGGAATCCATTGGAGTGGTCTTGGAAACCAGACCCAAAAAGGGCTTCACCATCGGGTTTCTCACATTGACTCCAACGATTGGTCAATCAAAAAAGCCATGCCATAGAATAAACGGGTCAACCTTTTGGATTTCGGCGATGTCATCCACCAAGCCATCAAACCTGCCGAATCGGGTTTCCTGGATGTTTAAGACAGTGGACCTTGGATGTGCATCCCATTTCGTAAGTAATAAGCATATGCACAAATAGACATATATAGACATTTGTAGGAGATAGCCCAGTCATCTAAGTCACCTACCACTAGTACAAATTATTATAAATTATGTGTACGCAAATACATTAATATATATATATACATATTTATATTTATATTTAAATGAATATATATATATAATGGGTTGCTAGGGCGACCCCGCTTCTTACTTTAGATGCAACCAAATCCCCAAACGGCCAAGACCTGACCTGCACGACTGGCCCCTTGGGGCCCGGGACTTCACTAATCACCTCCTGTTCTCGCACTCGCTCAGCTGCCTGGAAACTCAACCCTCCAAGCAGGTGGGGTCATGCGTCAATGTAGTTTCAACGGTTTAACCTGGTCATTTTTTGAATATGAATGTATCTGTAAAAAAACAACAACAATAACCAGATGCAGCCCGCGAACCCGAATGCAGTCACGTTGAACACTTTTGTGAAACAAGATATTTGAACAGTCTTGTGCATTTTTCCCATGTTACCGTACCAGTGCACAGTAGACTGGGAGGCTGAAGGGTGTTGAGTGCAAAGTGTGGGGCGTGAAGAAAGTGGAGTGTTGAGTGGCGAATGTATATGTATAGTGTGAAGTGGGAATTGTGGAGTGTGGAGTGTAAAAGTGTAAGGTGTGCGGTGGAAAGTGCGGAGTGTGGAGTAAAGAGTGTGGAGTGTCAAGTGTAGAGTTTAAAGTGTGGAGCGTACTGTTGGTTGCAAGCGATATCCCTTCTATAATATATCACCGTTTTATCCTCATGAAATCCCGGAAAAGATTAAAGGACCGGATAACCCCACATGTCAACTTCTTTCAATAATGAGCAACAAATGTTGTAGCGGGACGGGGAAGGAAGGAAAGACAAAGGAGGTCGTGAAGGATCAAGAAGTAAAAACAGTTGTGTGTGACAAAGTGGTATGTGAAAGATGGTGTGTGAAAAGGTGGTGTGTGTGAAAAGATGGTATGTATGATATGTATGATATGTATGATATGCATGATATGTATGATATGTATGTATGTATGTATGTATGTATGTATGTATGTATGTATGTATGTATGTATGTATGTATGTATGTATGTATGTATGTATGTATGTATATGTATCTATGTGTATGCATGTGTATGTATGTGTATGTCTGTGTATGTCTGTGTATGTATGTGTATGCATATGTATCCATATGTATGGATATGTATGGATATGTATGTATAAGTATGTATATGTATGTATATGTATGTATATGTATGTATATGTATGTATGTGTATGTATGTGTATGTATGTGTATGTATATGTATGTATGTGTATGTGTATGTATGTGTATGTATGTATATGTATGTATATGTATGTATATGTATGTATATGTATGTATATGCATGTATATGCATGTATATGTATGTATATGTATGTATGTATGTATGTATGTATGTATGTATGTATGTGTATATGTATATGTATATGTATATGTATGTATATGTATGTATATGTATTGCATGCATGCATGCATGTATGTGTATGTATGTGTGTATGTATGTATCGAAAGGTGGAACAACGAATCTGCTTGCCGAAAGCACGCGGGATTGCTTTTTTACTAGTGGAGGCGGCGGCGTGTGCGTGATGAAGACGGAAAGGTACCTGGCCACATGAAAGATCAAAGGAAACAAGCAGAAACGCAAAGCGTGGATGTTCGCAACATGCCTGCCATTTCGTGGATGTTCGAAAATGTCCCTGCCAAAGCGAAGGTCGATGTCACCAAGTGCCACGCCTGCCACGCCAACTGCCGCGGCGACAACGGCGCCAAACGGAGACCCAAGCGCGCCACCAGAGCCAGTTCAGTGCCATAAGTGCCACGCCCGCCACGCAAAGTGACGGTCGATGTCACCAAGTGCCACGCTTGCCACGCAAAGTGAAGGTGGATGTCACCAAGTGCCACGCCTGCCACGCAAAGTGAAGGTCGATGTCACCAAGTGCCACGCCTGCCACGCAAAGTGAAGGTCGATGTCACCAAGTGCCACGCCTGCCACGCCAACAGCCGCGGCGACAACGGCGCCAAACGGAGACCCAAGCGCGCCACCAGAGCCAGTCCAGTGCCATAAGTGCCACGCCTGCCATGCAAAGCCACGGTCGATGTCACCAAGTGCCACGCCTGCCACGCATCGATGTCACCAAGTGCCACGCCTGCCACGCAAAAGTGAAGGTGGATGTCACCAAGTGCCACGCCTGCAACGCCAACAGCCGCGGCGACAACGGCGCCCAACGGAGACCCAAGCGCGGCACCAGAGCCAGTGCAGTGCCATAAGTGCCACGCCCGCCACGCAAAGTGACGGTCGATGTCACCAAGTGCCACGCCTGCCGCGCAAAGTGAAGGTCGATGTCACCAAGTGCCACGCCTGCCACGCAAAGTGCAGGTCGATGTCACCAAGTGCCACGCCTGCCACGCCAACAGCCGCGGCGACAGCGCCAAACGGAGACCCAGAGCCAGTCCAATGCCATAAGTGCCACGCCTGCCACGCAAAGCCACGGTCGATGTCACCAAGTGCCACACCTGCCACGCAAAGCGACGGTCGATGTCACCAAGTGCCACGCCTGCCACGCAAAGTGAAGGTCGATGTCACCAAGTGCCACGCCTGCCACGCCAACAGCCGCGGTGACAACGGCGCCAAACGGACCCAAGCGCGCCACCAGAGCCAGTTCAGTGCCATAAGTGCCACACCTGCCACGCCAACAGCCACGGCGACAACAGCGCCAAACGGAGAATTAAGCGCGCCACCAGAGCCAATTCAGTGCCATAAGTGCCACGCCCGCCACGCAAAGTGACGGTCGATGTCACCAAGTGCCACGCCTGCCACGCAAAGTGAAGGTCGATGTCACCAAGTGCCACGCCTGCCACGCCAACAGCCGCGGCGACAACGGCGCCAAACGGAGACCCAAGCGCGCCACCAGAGCCAGTCCAGTGCCATAAGTGCCACGCCTGCCATGCAAAGCCACGGTCGATGTCACCAAGTGCCACGCCTGCCACGCAAAGCTGCTACGCCAACAGCCGCGGCGACAACGGCGCCAAACGGAGACCCAAGCGCGCCACCAGAGCCAGTTCAGTGCCATAAGTGCCACGCCTGCCATGCAAAGTGACGGTCGATGTCACCAAGTGCCACGCCAGCCTGAGTAAGTTGTGTGTGGACAAGGTTGTGTGGTGATAAGTTGTGTGTGTGAGTAAGTTTTGTGTGGACAAAGTTGTGTGTGGACAAAGTTGTGTGTGGACAAGTTGTATGTGAGTAGGTTTGTGAGCAAGTTGTGTGGTGACAAGTTGTGTGGGTGTGTGAGTGAGTTGTGTGTGGACAAGTTGTGTGTGTGTGAGTAAGTTGTGTGTGAGGAAGTAGTGTGTGGACAAGTTGTGTGGTGACAAGTTGTGTGTGAGTAAGTTGTGTGTGTGTGTGAGTAAGTTGTGTGTGAGTAAGTTGTGTGTGGACAAAGTTGTGTGTGGAAAAGCTGTATGTGAGTACTGTAAGTTGTGTGTGTGTGTGCAAGTTGTGTGTGAGCAAGTTGTGTGGTGACAAGTTGTGTGTGTGAGGAAGTTGTGTGTGGACAAGTTGTGTGTGTGAGTAAGTTGTGTGTGTGTGAGTAAGTTGTGTGTGAGTAAGCTGTGTGTGTGTGAGTAAGTTGTGTGTGTGAGTAAGTTTTGTGTGGACAAAGTTGTGTGTGGACAAAGTTGTGTGTGGACAAGTTGTATGTGAGTAAGTTTGTGGGAAAGTTGTGTGGTGACAAGTTGTGTGGGTGTGTGAGTGAGTTGTGTGTGGACAAGTTGTGTGTGTGTGTGAGTAAGTTGTGTGTGAGGAAGTAGTGTGTGGACAAGTTGTGTGGTGACAAGTGATGTGTGAGTAAGTTGTGTGTGTGTGTGAGTAAGTTGTGTGTGAGTAAGTTGTGTGTGGGCAAAGTTGCGTGTGGAAAAGTTGTATGTGAGTACTGTAAGTTGTGCGTGTGTGTGTGTGTGTGCAAGTTGTGTGTGAGCAAGTTGTGTGGTGACAATTTGTGTGTGAGGAAGCTGTGTGTGGACAAGTTGTGTGTGAGTAAGTTGTGTGTGAGTAAGTTGTGTGTGAATAAGTTGTGTGTGAGTAAGTTGTGTGTGTGGACAAGTTGTGTGGTGACAAGTTGTGTGTGAGTAAGTTGAGTGTGTGAGTAAGTTGTGTGTGGACAAGTTGTGTGTGAGGAAGTTGTGTGTGTGGACAAGTTGTGTGTGAGTAAGTTGTGTGTGTGAGTAAGTTGTGTGTGAGTAAGTTGTGTGTGAGTAAGTTGTGTGTGTGTGGACAAGTTGTGTGGTGACAAGTTGTGTGTGAGAAAGTTGAGTGTGTGAGCAAGTTGTGTGTGTGGACAAGTTGTGTGTGGACAAGTTGTGTGTGAGTAAGTTGAGTGTGTGAGTAAGTTGTGTGTGTGTGTGGACAAGTTGTGTGTGAGTAAGTTGTGTGTGAGTAAGTTGTGTGTGAGTAAGCTGTGTGTGAGTAAGTTGTGTGTGGACAAGCTGTGTGGTGACAAGTGACAAGTTGTGTGTGAGTAAGTTGTGTGTGAGTAAGTTGTGTGTGGACAAGTTGTGTGGTGACAAGTTGTGTGTGAGTAAGTTGAGTGTGTGAGTAAGTTGTGTGTGGACAAGTTGTGTGTGGACAAGTTGTGTGTGTGAGGAAGTTGTGTGTGGACAAGTTGTGTGTGAGTAAGTTGTGTGTGAGTAAGTTGAGTGTGTGAGCAAGTTGTGTGTGGACAAGTTGTGTGTGGACAAGTTGTGTGTGAGGAAGTTGTGTGTGGACAAGTTGTAAGTTGTGTGCGAGTAATGAGTAAGGAGGCGGCGGGAGCGGGCGGGAGCGGGAGCGGAGAGGCGGAAGTGCACAACCAAAAACAAGAACCCCACACAAAGATGTGGGGAAAAAGGTAAAAGGCCCCCGCCTCCAGGAGCTCATCTCCCGTTGGGAGCTCGCCCTCCTCGAGGGCGGAGCGCGTGACCCGGCCTGGCTCGGAGACCTTAATGATTTCTATCGCTTTAAAAGTGCTTTAAATAGCTTGGACAAGGCCAATTCTACCATGTCTCTCTCTCTCTCTCTCTCTTTCCATCTGCTATGTCTGATGCTGATCTTAATTTAAACTTGGAAGGGGGTACACGAAAGGTAGGTGATCAGGAAGAAGAAGCAAATAGACGGATAGGAGTTCAAACAGCAACAGTGCAGGTTCAGCCGAAGAGCCCGCTTCTGTGTGTAAAAGCCTCTTTGCGTAAATGCATCTGTGTGTGTGAAGGCATCTGTGTGTAAAAGCTTCTCTGTGCACAAACCTTTCTGTGTAAGAGCATGTGCGGATAAAAGCTGCTCTGTGTAAAGGCTGCTGCGCGTAACGTCGTCTGTCTGTAGAATAGGGTCGAGCATGGGCGTCATGCCATGTATAGAATGCTGAAAGGGAATCCAAAGGACAAACAAAGATACGTGCACATCCCAGTGTCATCCAGAGGAAACGAACAAAATCCAAGCTCAAATACCTGTTTGCATGTTTTTTCTTGGGGGACCGGGGAGGGCGGCGAGAAAAAACACTAAATAAACAATCAAGGAAAGGAATCTTGGACAAACCCTAAATATAAACCCTAAACAACCCCGAAATGAAACCTAAGTGAAGCCTAAACAAACCTTTAAAAAAACCTAAATAAACAAACAAAAAATAAACCAACCCTAAATAAATCCTAAAGCTTTTTGAACAACCCCGAAAGAAACCCTAAATAAACACTAAACATACACTAAACCTAGCCTAAACAAACCCTAAACCAACCCTAATCAAACCCTAACTGAACCACAAACAAACCCTAAACCTCATTGAAACCAAAAGGTGGGTTGCATTGCTAGTGGATTCCCACAACAAGGTTTTTGGCCACCAGCATCAGATTACAACATATTTTTTCAATTAAAAACAAATTTTCCCATATTCAATCATTTATTTGATTGTATCTGAATTTATTTGACTTTATTTGAATTTATTTGCTTTGGGACCTCCCTGTAGTTACCAAGCAATACATAGCAATACATCATGTGACAAGCAAATGTGTTTTAAATCCTTTCATCATAGAAGCTCAACATTTGACAGCACAAGGAAATATGATAACAGCTGACGGTTGGGCAGCAATTCTGCCGCTGGCCTCAGCAAAGTTGTTGTAAGGTTGCGTTAGTTTTATTTTGTGGTTTTCTTGTTTTTTCTTTTTTTTCCAGCAAATTTGAGAAATTTTGAGATATTTTGAGATTTTTTGAGATTTTCTATGGCCCAGAAAAATATGCAATACAGAACCCAGTCTCGCAAAACCACGTTTGAAAAACAACATTAGAGACATTTTGAGACATTTTGAGATATTTTGAGATTTTTTTGAGATTTTTTGAGATATTTTCAGATTTTGTGAGATTTTTTGAGATTTTTTTGAGATTTTTTGAGATATTTTCAGATTTTGTGAGATTTTTTGAGATTTTTTGAATTTTGTTTAAATGGTGTTTTCATATTTGTTTCATTTGTTTTTATTTTTTTCAATTTTATTCATATATTTTCATATTTTTGATTGAAAAAAACCATTGCCAATCCAGACCACTGCAGATCTAACCCACGTTTTGGTGTTGCTGATAAACCAGCCCTAATCAAATCCTAAACAAACCTTTAATAAACCCTAAACGAACCCTAAATCAACCCTAAACAAACCTCTACCAAAACCTAAACAAACCCTAAACCAACTCTAGACAAACCCTAAATAACCCCTAAACAAACCCTAAACCAACCCTAAATAAACCCTAAACCAGCCTTAAACAAACCCAAAACAACCCTAAACTAAACAAAACAAAACCTAAACTTTTAGGCCTTGCGGCACTTGTGCGCCAACACAGGTTGAGGCTTATTCGATGTTTGGCTTCCACGGCTTTGCGACGCCTGATAAAGTTGGCCGCCCCGAAAAGGGACACAAGTGAGCACACGATCGTTTCCCCATCAACATCTCACGTCAAATCATGCCGGGCCGGCTGGGGCTGCTAGCTACCCTGAGACCTGCAAAGGCCTGCAAGTTTCAGCCGAGTCCACCAGGCTGGGTCCCCAGCTGGGTTTCTCTCCCAATATCATCCAATATCCCATGGTTGATCATCATTTTGCCGATTCAGATTGAATATTGCCATTTGGGGAGCATGCCATATTTTCAAACACACCCACCTCAACCTTCACCTGCCAAAATATAGAGAAAGAAACTGTCACCGGCTTAGGTATAATCCACCATCTGACATCTGACACGCTCCCTCAAGTTCCCCGCCTCATGACACTGCTGCCGAAAAAGTAATGCCGCGGTCAAGCCAATCACATACTTGCACCTGCCAGTGCTGCAGATATGCCTCAAACCAGCATCTGTAGTATCCAAGACCTGAAGATATGCACATACATAAGAAGAGGTATATCTATCCAAATACATTTTTCCTTCACTAACCATATTATATGCTGATCTACCAAAATCTATCGTCTACTTTAATCTACTTTATTGATCTTGATCAATGACATCCCAATCCATCCACGCCTCCCTGTGCGCCGTGGCGCCATTTCACAACACCGCGGCAGTGTCGCGGCTGGCGGATTTGAGCCAAGTCTCCGGTGGTGCTGCGTTGAAGTTTCGGCGGTTTTTTGGTCAAACGTGGCAACGGGAAATCATGGGAAATCCGCTGCAAATGGAGGTTTGAATGGGAAAATCATTGAACTAAATGGCAGATTTCTAATTGCCCATTGCCATGTTTGATTACCGGACCATATTCAAAATTCTTGGACATGATTTGATGCAAATGGATGTTCATCCCCAATTCTTGTGGTCCAAAACACATATTCCACGGTATTCGCCTGATCGGCCAAATAAGAATTCGCCCACACATAGACTCACTGATCACTATTCTTGTAGTAGAATTAACTAGTCATCTCAGCCTTTTGGGCAGGGGGTCAATAACAAGAATGTGATTTTGAGCCAAAGCCTCCCAACAAAAAGCATCCGGAACATCCCCATCGCCAATTCCAATGTTTTCACCAGAATTCAAATTCAGAAAATTACATATCTTGGGGGTTAACTCCCATGATCTCATATGATCTTCCCATTTTATAGTTCAACACCCATGTGATCCTCGATGACCCCTCAATTCCGCCGGGAAGACCAAGGAAGAAAAACACACCCGACAGGGCATAAGTGGCCTGACTTAAACATGCTAAGGCAGGGGGGGAAATCCATGAAAATCCCTGTTAAATTGGGAGTAATTGGGCGTGTTTAATGGTAAAATCATGGACAGGTTAGGTCACCAGAGGGTACCTGGCCATTTTCCTGGAAAATTCAGTATAGTTCACCCAGGAAGAGTGTTGACCCCTGGGTTGAATTGGCAAAGTGCATTTCGATTGCCGCTTATCACTTTTTGCTGGGAATCAACCGCGCTTTGTTGATAAGGGCTGACATAATCCCACCAATTTCTCTGAAGCGAATCAGTCTGATTGGGAAAACCTATGAATTCTAGGGCCAGTTGGATCCTCAAAGTAGAGCCCCCAGGTGGATCACAAGTCCGCAGGGTTGGAGAGACCAAGTTGACGCAGGATTGCAGAATAAAACTGTCTGCAGACTTTGGAACCAAAGGCAGATTGCTTCACCAGGAGCATTAAAGTATATTAAAGCCCTGTCAAAATTGAAATGGTTGTTCCTGCCTTCTGAGATTGAAATCAGCCGTTTTTGCAGGGCGTGAATCTCTGTTGCCAGTTTCAGGATGTCACCCTCGCACAAATTCGCCATGCGGCCACGCCCGGTTTTAATGACTGTGGTCAAACTGCAAGACCCTCCGACCCACAGATGTGGGCCATGCTTTGTAATAAACGTTGGGGCCTTCCCTTGGTGCACATTGAGGAGCCACACCCACATGTAGGTTCAATGGTTCATCATCAGTGTCCCAGTGAAAGTTGCCATGTTGAGGTATCCCCGGTATCCCCCGGTATCCCCCGTTACTTCCGATTCCCGGGCCCACCCTGCGCCTCAATCATCAACCGATCTTTCAAGCTGCCGCTCATCCCCAAGGCCAAGACGCTCAGGGCAACCAGCAACTCGGTGGCGGTCAGAATGGGAAACAGATGCGATGACCCTAACCGAATAGCGAAGCACTGGGGCTGCGGCCAAACCCAAGACAGACAGTACATATGTGATATTATGTGGTCATATGATCATAGAATCATATGTGTATACATAAATATCACTAAATATGTATGTATGTCCACATCTAGCCAAGATAATCAGGATATGACTGATATGACTTCAGTTCAGCGACTTCAGTGCTGAATCTGTGCCGCTCCAGCTGGGTGGTGCCAGAAGATGTCAAAGATTGCAGGTGGTTTCAACTTGTTTGTTCACGGTCTCACAAGGTTATACCCCCACCTCAATCATCTGTTGGGGGGCCGCACCCGGATGTCAGTATGCAAACCGGTGGGTCAGCAATTTAGAGGGATACCCGCTAGATCCTGCTAGTCAACCAGCAATCAAACTTTCCCACTAGGCCCACCACAAGAGCTAAGAGAACCAACTTGCACTGCGACTCCTGCGGCTTTTCAAGGCAAGGAAGATCGCCCCAGGAACCCTCAAAGAGGGTTGTGCTATGTTGCGCTGTTGTTTATCAATCACAGGTCGTTGGGAAATTGGGGGCCGAGGTGGAAACCTCAATGGAAGGGTACCCAGAACAAACTTGGATTTTGAAGAGCGCGATCTCATCAATGAAGGTCTTAAATAGGAAGTCCACCTCCACGACCGTGGGGACCCTTGTTTCTGTTAGGGTCAGATTGAGGTGCCAACACCCCAACTCTGCCCATGGCAGCTATGGCACCTTAAAGGTTTCACAAGAGCAGCAAGAGCTGCACATCCTTGCCCGCCTCAGTCTGCCGCAGGAGGTCATAGAAGTTGGCTGAAGGGAACATACCAAGAAAGTCGGGAACAACTACCCTCTCCTGGTGTGTTTTCGGTAACAAGGGTTGCCAAAGTGAGGGCATTTATGATTGATGTATTTCCGCATGTTTCACCCACACCTGCTTCATCCTCTTTGTGCCAATCTCAGTGAACATGTCATAATTCCTATGCTTGGACACACCACTTACCTCAAAAAAGTGCTGGAATGGGCTAGTGCTGTGCCACTACCATCCAATCCGTATTGAGAGCAGGCTCTTCTGGAATCCTTGAAATGACGCCAAAAGATTCCATGTTGAAGTACTTGTTGCATGCGAGAAACTTAGAGAAGACAATGGCTATCGATTTATATCAGCCACGAAGAAGCTGAAGCAGACTTGTGCAGGAATTGTACATATCTTTGATAACGCAGAACAAAACAAAGTGTCGCAAAAAAAATAAAAATGAACGTCGCCCCCTAAAGCTGGGCATTTCATCTTCAACGCGAGGCCTACCATGGGGTGAGGTCATTGCAATTCCCTTGGGCACCCTGCGACTTTTCGCGTTGATAGCGTTCATAGGTCCAGTAGCGTGGGTCCTGGGCTGCTACCACTATGATTCGGGGTTGGCTTAGTGACGGGGTGAAAAGAAAACCAAACTATACATATCTGCATCCATTCTTGGAAGTCCGTTCATTTTAGACGTGGCTTTCAAGTGCTATCAGCTATCAAATGGGCATGGGTTAAAACTGGTGGGTATCCCAAACATATTATGGGCAACTGTGCATGTCTGACCCTCAGGATCTCAGGGTCCCCCACATCAAGATCATGTGGAACATTAGCGTGGACTTCGGGAAGCAATGCTTGTGGTTCATGGGCATGTTGCATCACCTAAGCAGGAACACTGACATCATCTGCGATTCTACCCAGGAAAATGAGCTGCTTCCTGAGTCCTAAGAAATTAGCTTGCAAAAAAATGTGTACATCAGTTGCTGTCAGTTGCTGACGGAAAACTCCGGACTCCAAACCCTTGAAAATTTGATTTATATAAATTGATTTGGACCTATTTCCAAGACAAAACTCGTGCTTTGCAAAGCGGAGAAAAAAAAAAACACGTGTGTTTTACTACCAATTCCTATCATTCCTTCCAGCTACTGTCACAGTCCATCATGGTCTGAGCGCAGCTTTGGGCCACTACCAGAGGCAAACGTGGCACATCTGATCCTGTTGCTAACGTCATCAATCTGGGGAGTAAAAACCTATGATTTTCTCATATGGGTTTGTCTGAAAATAGAATAGAGTCATTAACCCTCAATTTTGATGGTTCAAAAATGCTCAAACTCATGTTCCCTGTCAAAATTGTTATTTGGGTGGTAATTGTCCATTGTCAAACACTGCCATATCAAGTTTTGGGATGAAGATCCATGGTTCGCAGCGAAAATTGATCACACCGTGACACCTGGGGTCGAATCCTGACGTAACCGAAACACAAACCCCAAGTGGCGCCTGTCTTGGGGCGGGCCTCAGCAGTCACTAACTTACATGCGCCAATGCCTTTCGATGATTATCACGTGGATGGCGAAGGTTTTCCACGCAATGTGACACGTGTGTCAGTTTCGCGCAGGGTCAGTCTCCCCAACCCTTCAGAACCGTTTAGAATTTTGAGAAGTGCTCAGCGACACCAACCCGGAAACGAGAAATTCACGACAAAATCATCTCATGCGAGGACGTAAGCCGGAAAAAAAACTTACAAACTACAATTAGGTTCCAAGAGTCTAGCATGATCCCCATTGACACCAACTTGGTGTAACAAATATTCCATTCTATGTCCTTTCTTTCAGGCTCCATCTCCTCCTAGCTACAGACCCTTCAAGGTTCTCCAGCACCTGGCCACCCGGCTGGTGGGGACAGCAATTGAGGTGGAGGGGGGATGTCAAAGTCCTCATCACCTGAGTCGGAAAGCAACAAGCAGCAACCGTCAGCTACAAGCAGGTAGTGACCAGTCTCCCAACTGCCCTTCCGTTTCCCATGGTGGCAAGCCATCACAACATATGTGCCTACACATGTGTGTGTGTGTGCGTGTGTGTGGTTTATATGTATGTGTGATTATCCGTGCATATAAAAAAATATAGATATATAAACTATATGTGTGCGTGTGTGTGTGTGTGTGTAAGATAGTGCCTGGCCCGCGCCGGAGCGGCAGGTTCGAAAATCGGAAATGGGTTTTAGGAAATCAACGGCCTATAGGAAATCGAACCGATGAATCAGTGAATCAATGAACCAACGAATCAGCGAATCAAGGAATCAATGAAGCAATGAATGGATGATTCAATGAAATGAATCAATGAAGCACTGAATCGCTGATTCAGTGGCACAATGAGCAGAACGAACCGCTGAATCAATGAAACGCTGATTCAATGAATCAATGACCCAGTGATCCGGTGATTCAGTGAATCAATGAATCAATGCATGGGCGAACTAGTGAGTGAGTCCACGAATCGATTAACCAAATGACTGAATGAACGAATGAACTCATGAATCAATGAATCAGCGAACCAGTGAACATAGTGAACCAATGAAGCATTGATTCATGAACCAATGAATGAATAAGGGACGGATGGATGGATGAATGGAAGGATGGATGAATGATTGCTGGGCGAGCTACTGGCTACTTCTTTGCTGAGCAACCTCTTCGCTGAGGCACCTCTTCTTTCAGTCACTTACGTCTTCTTTGAACACCACTTATCTGGGCTACTTCTGGTCTGAGCTGACTCCCAGCTACAGTACCTCTTTTGTAGCTTCTGCAACCCAATTCTTCTCTTCACGCAGCCGACGCAGCTGCTACAATGCGTTTAGCAACCTCCAGCCGCAATCCCGCATAGCACAAGACTAGCACTATGGTCCAAAACTACCTTCCACACAGCGTTTAGCAACCTCTAGCTGCAATCCCGCTTGCCAGGATCCCCGCAGCATCACTGGCGCTTTGCTGCGCGCAGCCGTGCCACTGCGTTTTGTCACAGCCGGTTGCAAACCCTCATGGCAGGAGCGTCGCACCAAATCGACCAATGTTTGCGCAGCAGTGCTGACAATGGGGTCTGTCCAAACATGTAATTTTCTTATAACAAATCGAGCTCTCGCTACAGTCTCGTGAGCATTTTGCCGGCCTCATCTTCCAAAAGGACATGACAGTTTGTTTACATTTTGAAGTGCAAATCGAGCTCTTGCCACAGTCCTGTGCACTTTTTGTCGGCAACGTTCCCATATCGAGGCCCGAACCCGCGGAAACAGAGACCCTGCTTCGGCGACCCCACGAGCCGAAAACCGTGAATTCAATTGAATTCACGCGTTTCGGATCTATTACTCTTCTCTACTGCTTCCACACGCGAACTGCTCTTGCTCATAATGTTGCTGACATGCTGCGGACATGACAAGACCGGCCCTGGACATTCGTCCGTAACTCGGATGTTTTCGAACTTAAGTTCCTTTGGTAATATGCGTATCTTCATTTCTTAGTGCGTTCATTTCTTCGTTTTGTCTATGCCTCTGCTTATTCAGTATGTATCGTTTGATGTTATCACTGTATGCCTCTTATTCAGCCAAAAAATGGACCCTCCCCGATTACCGAGTCTGTGGCCCCCTTTGGCACCCCAAGTCCATCCAAGACCACCAAGATCCAAACTCAAATTCATCAAAGCACCACCCTGGGGCAGACCTGGCATCAGGGCATGATGGACTGAGATGCTGGGCACCCACCTGGATCGCAACTCAAGGCTCCGGCCTCGGCCTTTCCTCACTGGCACATCTCGGTTCCACTCCTTGGTGGCCAGGGATCCAAACCCTGGCCGCTGAAACCCAAAATAGGGGGTATATTCGTCCAACCACATATTTAATATTTCACAACATTTCGTATTTAATGTAATGTAGGTCTTGACCAATCCCCATATCTGATGCCTCACTCTGTATGTCGGGGCGCTGGTGTGGGCAGAATTGGCTCTGGAGGCAAGCCCAATTCTGCATCATCAATCTCACCTGCAAATGAAGAAACATGAACCAATCCGAAAGGGTCTTTGTCTGAGGACAGTCTGAAAATGATGCAAACTGGTCTGACACGTCAATACCGGAACCCGCTTTTCACTGCGGGCACCTTGGTCGGTCTTGACTGGTACGTCTGAATTCCATTCCTTGGTCGACGGCCATGCTGGCCATCCCAGCGTGCCCTTGACCAATTATCTCGGTGTCTCACTATCTGCGCCGAGATGCTGGTGCGGGCAGAATTGGCTCTGGAGGAAGGCTCAACTCCACGTCAGAAATCTCACCTGTAGGATGAGTCTGTTCATGTCTATTCAAAAGGAAACATCAAGACTTTGTGCAGACTTCGCGTGAGAACGGTCTCTTGTTTCTGTCTCACATTCAAAGACAGCATGCTTAAGTGACCATCAAGCCAGTCTGCTGGGGCCTTGGGTGGTCTTGGCTGGGTCTGAATTCCAGTCCTTGGCTGTCACGCCGGCCAGAATGCTGGAGGCCAGGTCTGTGATCCCTTGCGGTTCCTCCAATTAGTTGGTATAGTCAAATAATGTAGAATAGCTTGCCCACAAATTTTGAATAGCAGCGCGAAATGCGTATATATATATATATACATATATTGTTATATATTCTGCCATTATGCACACATGGGTGCGCATGCTTGATTTCATAAGTCTGTGCATCTTCGGTCCAATTGCACATGTATGCGTCTGCGTTCGTGTGTGTGTGTGTGTCTTTTCTGTCTCTCTCTCTCTCTCTGCGTATTTATACGCACATGCCAGTGTCTGTGCACATAGACTATGCAGAATAGAGAGAGAGAGAGAGGGAAAAAGCTGAGAGCTGGTAGAAAGCATCAGTGATCGTGAGCAGGTATCTATATGTATCATGTTGGACGCACAAACGAATAGAACCCCCCGATCTATGAAATGCAGCAACCGCTGATAGGTCAAGGATTGAAACTTCAGATGCTATCAATGCTATGAATTTGAAACAAGGCGGCAGGAAGGCAAACATTTTCTCTGAAACCTCTTCAATCATCTTCACATTTCACGAGCCGAACAAAAGCTGAGGATAGCAGGATATCTGATCTCTCAATCTGTATGCCTAGGCACCGGTGTGGGCAGAACTGGCTCTGGAGGGAGGCCCAATTCTGCGTCATCAATCTCACCTGCAAATGAAGAAACATGAACCAATCCGAAAGGGTCTTTGTCTGAGGACAGTCTGAAAATGATGCAAACTGGTCTGACACGTCAATACCGGAACCCGCTTTTCACTACGGGCACCTTGTTCGGTCTTGACTGGTATGTCTGAATTCCATTCCTTGGTCGAAACCCACTGAATTTTGTCAGATGTGTATATATATATACACAGGTGACTTGGATACATCCAATCTATCTGCCAAAGGGGTCCATATACCCCTCAAAAGGCAATTTAATTAATACTATTTTATATGAATATGATGGTTATAGATGGCTACCTTTTGTAATGGATTTGATCCATTAATCACCAATCATGCAAATGGTGAGGTATGTTCACATATAAGTCATTGTTTATGTTAATTCTATATATAAAGGAAGGTTCCACATGCATTCTAACCTTACATTGCCTTACATCAAGTGATTGTTTATGTACATTCTATGAAGGATTGTTCCAAATGCATTCTAACCTTGCATCAGGTGTAACCAACATTTTCACGGGAAAATTTGATCAAACAGTTTTTAACATGTTTATCCACATTTTTACCAGCATAATACGGACTGGAAGGTAGAATTTTGGTATGTGGTCACGGCATACTAACCCGAAAAATCAAAAAAAAAATCAGAGGCACTCTAACTTTCAATGGATATTTTTTGGAAAACGCGCCGGCATTCTAACTTTCAGTCCGTCGGTATAATAGTCCAGGCCCGCACGTTTGCATCTATCTCCATTTTGTGTATATGCTATTGAGTTGTGAGTACATATAAGCATTTTTTCTGCAGACACCGAACATCAAAAATTAACCTCGGCCATAATTACATGAAATGCAGCCAATCGCTGATGTGTCAAGATCTTCAAAGGCCTAGTGCTTAGTATTGTGAGTTATCACGGAAAGGTCGCAGGAAGGCAAACATTTTCTCTAAAACTTCTGGACCATCTTCATCGGAACAAGACCTGAAGATATCTGATGTCTCACTCTGTATGCCTAGGTGCTGGTACGGGCAGAACTGGCTCTGCAGGGAGGTCCAATTCTGCATCCGCAATCTCACCTGCCAGTGACGAAGCAGTGTGGCAGTCTGTCTGCTCCTATCACATGCAAAAACTGCGGCATGTTTCGAAATGTGCTCGCATCCCAGCCAAGTGATGTTCTGAAATGATGCAAATATGTCCACTGGTGCAACAGTTGAAACCTGTTTTCCCTTGGCTCTGGGAGCCTTCGTCGGTCTTGATTGGCACATCTAACTCCTTGGTCGACGGCCAAGCTGGCCATGGAAAATAAGTGGGTAGAATCAATGAAGAAACAGTGAAGCCGCACTACAGCCACTGAACGGAAGAAACCAAAGAGACCAAAGCAGCATTTTGGAGCCTGAATCTGTCATAGTATATGCTATTTGCAGCAATTTGGAGCTTGAGTCTCTCATTTCCATGTGATTTGCAAATGTATTGGAGCTTTCACCTCTCAGTTTTACGCCATTTGCAGCAATGTCTGGTTTTGCAGCTGAGGAGCCTTGCTTCAAAATATTTCAAAATATTATTTTGTGGCGTTGGGGCATTGGGGGTGTCTTGGCATTGCGTTCTTCCTGTTTTATTGATTTTGTTCTCATGCTATTTTCTCGGCATCTGTTTGACTTTTTTCCTTCAATATGTCCGTTGTTGTTTGCACGATGCTTGCAGCAAATTCTAGGTTGAATCTACAAGTACTCGATGGCACTTGCACGTGTGTGCAGCACTTTGCGCTAAGATTCCTGCTCTTGTTGTTGTATTTTGATGTTGACGTTCGTCTGTCTTAGAGTTCTTGTTGTTCTTGGTTTTCGTTTGAAGCTGCGTAGAAAAAAAGCTGCTGCAAGAAACCAGAAAAGCCCTATGGGTAGATTCGGCATCTTCAAGCAGAGTCTCCGGCTTTTTGCCGTCCAAAGCATAAGTGAAACAACAAAGAAGGCCAAGAAACGCCAAAGTGCAAAAAAAAGCAGCCCAGACCGAGAAATAGAATCATCATGAATCATCAAACCATGGAATATGAATGGGACTGATCTTGAAATCTTCATGTATTAATGGGATATTTACTTATATAATCATCAAACAATGGAACCAACCAAAAAAAGACGTTGACGAGGCACTGGGGCTGCCGCAGCTGGAACGGCCCAGTCCTTAGTGGAAGAGATCGGAGTGGGTGTGTGACGAGAGTCGGTGGGGAGCCATCCATGAAAAAAATGACTTAAAAGCCGCTGTCCCTTTGGAAATAACGGTTGTGAATGATTTTGAGTGGGTTCAGGGGTGTGACTGGTCGGGTCAATCTTTGGGACATCAAGCAATATGTAAAAGCAGGTCAACTTTGCCGTCCCGGCACTGAACTTGAGTCTTGTCCACCCAAAAGCACTGTTCCTTTCCAAATAAATTGATGTGACAAGTTCCATGGTAGCCTCAATGCAAAATCCTCCATTTGTGGATGTTCCCATGACATCCACAGAGGATTTCACCACCATGGATTACATCCAAGAGGCTGCGTCAGTATCCAGGATGCCTCGCAGTGTCAGTGATGGCTCCGCGGCGAGATGTGAGGAGAAGCCAAACTCGAGGAATTACACATTTACAGAATTAGACGCGTATAAAACTGTTTAAAGTTTAAAGACATGTGTATTGTTATGATATTATGATATATCATATGCGAGGGGATGTGTAAAGCATCCCCAAGACCGAAAGCTGCCAGAATCTGGAGAGATTATGTGCTATATCGACAATAAATATGTGTATTATATATAATTATATATATACATACATATGTGTGTGTATAAGTGTGTGTGTGTGTCTTTTAAATCTCATGTGCATATTATGCATGTAACTTCGCGCCTGCCGGCATCTCTGCACCGGCGGTGTGCCACTCCTCGGGGGATTTGTTGGGTTTAAGATGGTTTAATATGCTTTATATAATAGTAACTTAATGGATCTCGATGGGATTTCATGTTCTAGTGGTTACCCCTGGTAATCACACTGGCAACGGAAACCCATGAAAACCCCCTGGCAGCTTTGATTTAGAGGGAATTTCCCATTGCCACCTGAGAGTTAACCATTTAATTTCCAAATCGAAATGGATCGAAATGGATTGTCAGTGCCTTCCTCAAAGGATCATTGGATTCTCCAAGAACCACCAAAATATACCAAAATGAATACCCGGAGTAAAAATGTTGACTGGCAGGCATCGGATATTTGAGGGAATAGCACATTGCCTGTGTAGAATCGACCATTTGCCACTATGCCACCGACAGGATGATTATTTTTGGCATATGAAGCGAGGTAAAGCGCAATGTGATCCAATTTTTTAAAGGGGGTCACATTGTGCGGAGTTCCATCTTTGATTTCATCCAATACAACGTCGAAAAAACACTCCCGAGAAAAAGCACCACGATTGTGGCTTTTAAACCGCACAGCTTCACAGCTGGGGCGTCGCACTGTGACCAAAGGCTTTTCTGGTTCGGCCGGCTCCTAATCAGTTGGACGCTGGTGTTCGAGACTCCAGGTTCCGTTGCGCAAAATGCAGGGAAAGCTCGATGCTGCTCAATTTAACATGATTTAATTACTTCAACGATCATTTGTTTGGTTGGATGTTGGGGGTAAGCAACTAGAAATCAGTTCATGCTTTCAATGGCCACATTGGCC